GGGGGGAGTCGGGCTAGCTCTGGTGCGCGCTGTGAAGCTCCGGTCATCAAGGGGAGCGGGAGCAGCAGGGAGATGTTTGCCGACCGTAGAGGCCTCCAGAAGAAACCCTGTTGCAAACGCTTCTGACTTAAGGGAGGAAGTTTTTATTCCTGAACATTAAGTATCATCTTTTATCCTCCTTAATCACAAGGGGGAAAATTTCTTCCCCTACCTCTTAAACCTCTCCTTAAGCCCTGCAACTACTCTTGTTAAGAGAAGACCATTACTATAATGCACTTTGGTGAGCCAGATATTTCTGTGATGAACAGCAATTGAGCTTTGCTTCAAGGTCTTGCAAAGACCTTTCCAGAGCAGCCTACAGCAACACCTCCACCTAATATCTATCACCATTCAGGATAACTTTGGACCTGTGACCAAAGTAATAATCAGTACTTACTTTCCTGGGCAGCACACTTTGCTCCTTGTGTTGCAGAAACATTGCTGCTATCAAACATCCACGTTCTTTTGGTTCTCGTGGCACTTCCTGTACTCACTGAACCCCAGCAAGGCAAATCTGTCAAAGCCAAACATTTTAACAGTTACCAAAAAAAAAATACTCTGATCAGATATTTCCACTAGTGATGCTAGACCAGAGATGGCACACACTGTTAAGACACAGTCAAGCTGATGACTGACAGCTTTTTGCCATCTCTTATTTTCTAGTTAGCCAGCAATGCTCAGCAGGACTTTGTGCCTCAGCCAGCACCTGCTGAGTGAAATGCTCTGCTCTTAGACACCGACCGCATATATCTATAAAGCAACCATTTGCTTTGGTACAGCTGGATATAGAAGCCCTGCACTAATGTGGGATGTATACCCTCTTATGTTGTAGAGTTCTCTGAAGTTTCCTGGCTTGGCTGGTGAGACAATTTGGCTGGGGGGGCACAAGGGGAGCAGGGGGGATTGAACATATCGCATTCCTCCTCCAAACTGAAATGGCAAAGGTAAATACTTTTTCATTTAAGGTTATGGGCTGGACAGCATTCATGAATCCTGTGATCCAGTGGAAGCGGTAAGGAAATCTGAAGCAATATTTATTGGTAAGTTTTATTTCTTGCTCCCTGATGAGTGTTTCTATAAGGCACTGAATTAGCCCTGCTCAGAGCTGGCGCTGTAGAGACAACAATGAAAAAGTTGGACCTACCACTTACTACAGAAAACAGCACTTTAATTAGGAACAGTAAGACCCCAAATTTAGTATTGGGCAGGGAAGTAGGGGAAATTTATTAATGGAACTCCAGTAACTTTCAAATTATTCATTTGCACAGTCCTTCAGATTTAAAAATATAGTCATCATGGCTGTATCATCACTTTATCAAACCTAAGAGGTCTCAGGCCTACTATGCTCAGACCGAGTGTAGTCCTAATACCATACTCCAGGGTTGTCAAACAGCCAGTCACTGTTACAAGAAGGGCAGGCCATTAAGCATGAGCCCATCGCCTGCCCAATGACCATTCTTCTGAAGCACCTGGTTTTACTGCTGCTTAAAGCAGGATAGTACCCTGAATAGAGCATAGAAATCAGAGCCTGCCTGCCAAGTTTGTAACAGCTTCAATTAAAACTGGTGGTGAAAGCATGCTAAATATGCTGGACTCTCTTTCTGCAGGAGGTGGGAACACGTTCCGTCTCCTGAAAGCTCTCTACGACAACAGTCTGATACAGGAGATCAGGAAAAGAGTTCTTGAGGTAACAACTACAGGTCTCAGACCAAGACTGAACGGCAGGATCTCAAGCATAAGTTTTTGTTCAGGCAAATCCAAGTTGATCCTACATGTTTGTTTCTAATGTACTTCAAATATTAAGCCATCTCATGCAACCTGGTGAACTGAAATCTGTGGCCAAATGAAGCTGTCATTAGTCACTGAAGCCTGAAAAGACTAACATCAGCACACTGTCTTTCTAGGGCAGTTTCCCAGATGTGGGACTGCAAGACCTTGGGATGTACAATGCTGTGTAGTACCTTGAAAGTAAGCCCCTCAACTTAAAATACCAATGAAGAGCAGTGCAGGATTTAATCTATGTCCAGAAACCTTGTTTTTCAGCTTGAGATGTCCACTTTGTATCTTGTTAATAGATATAGATATGTTCAAGTTGCAAGTTGTCTGCCAGTAAGCTGACAATAGAGTTGGACTCATACATGGCTTTCAGACAGTGCCCTGTTGATACTGAAAATGGTATAATTACCTTGGGTACCTCTCCTTGACCTGGAATTGAGAGGTGTGAGTGCCATTGAGCCCTTCCGGCCAGCAGCCCCATTCTGGCTGGTGAATCTCACAAGGCACAGCAAAGATATGCCATCTATGGAAGAGAAGAGAAGCAAGGTGTTCCCCTAACAATGTGTAACTGCAAACGACTGAGTTTCTGAGATTGACAGAAGAGGCTATAAAATGCAGTTCCTAACTGTGATACTGCATACTCATCATTGCTTTTGTCTTTCAGGATGGGATTCCTTACATGGGATCCAGCGCAGGAACTAACGTTGCTACCATCAGCATCAGTACTACCAATGACATGCCAATTGTTTATCCACCTTCCCTGCAGGCCCTAGGTTTAGTTCCTTTTAATATTAAGCCCCACTACCTTGACCCAGATCTTGAAAGCGCTCATGTGGGTGTAAGTAAAGCATGCCAGAGCTATCACAGTAACCAGGATGCAGAGGTGTAATGATAGGGTGTATTTGTGAGGCCTTACAAAGCTACAGAATGTCTACCACCAGCTCCCTAGAGCAGGGTTAGGCAGTAAGATTTTACTCCCTTCTAAAGCTTTTATTTGTGTGGGAAGAGGAGTTGGCAACAGTATTACTGAGGTGGAACAAAGTGTTTTTCACAAACAGAAGGTTTGCAATGTCTGAAATACTGTTGCCTGATACCTGGCATGGAATTGGGAGTGGGGTAGAAAGAGAGAAACTTGACATGTTAAGATGCAATGCGCTGTTTCTGCGAAGTCCTGCCATAGTCTGTCTTGCTTGCTGCTTGAGAAGATGTAACTTTAGATACTTAAGCCTCTTAACGTATGTTTAAGGTCTGAAGGAACCATCAGAACATGGAGATCTTGTGACTGCATGCAAACCTGTTGTGTCAGAAAATACCTAGATGCTAGTCTCCCTGCAGAGGGCACACCCTGTAACGTCCAGTACTGCGCAAGCACATGTACTAGTATAGCTGAAGGAAGAACACTTTAACCATGAAGCACAAAGACTGACACCTCCACTGTATGGAAGAACTGATTCTTGAATAGCCTTTTCCTCAGAGAACAGTTTATGTGGTGCATCTTTTAACAGCCTAAATATTTTCCTCCTTATAATCAAAATTTCTTCATGATTAGAGGAATTAGAACTATTAACATTTCTTAAGAGTTATTAAGAATTAGGGGAATTATTAAGTATTAGGGGATATGGAAGAGATGGAGGATCAGGGTGTGCTTCTAGAATTTAGATGAAGTTGTAGGTACTCATTTATTCAGTTTGTCACTAGATAAGCAGGGAGTCTTTTCCCTATAAATAACTTGCTATTTCTCCAAGAGGAGGCTGGAAGCTCTGTGCTGTACCAAGTCCCTGCTGTGTTCCTGTGTTTCTTACCAACAAATCCTTCTGGTTTGATTTCTTTAACTTCCATTGCTCAGTTCAGCAGCAAACCCTCAAGAAACATGGCAGAGCTGTTCATGGAAGGAAATTCTTCAGTGTAATACCTACTTGAGAACAAACAAGCAGACATTTAATAAATGGAAATCCATGGTTCACTACCCTCTTTTATGAAGGTGGCATCTCAGGCATTTACTTTCACCACCTTCCTCAGTGCTCTTGTTCTAAGGGTGAGCACATAAAGATAGCATTAAAAAAATAAAAGCTGGATGAATTAAGTGGAAGCTAAGTTTTAAGGCTTTTCAGGGTTTGGATTGTGTGAGTTCTGTTTGATCAACCTACAGCAATTGCTGCTAGTTAGGAAGGGTAAAATACATATCTATTAAAGTAAAACCTGCCACTTCCTTCAATATATTAGTCTAATGGAAGCATTCTGCTTGAGGGGAAGTGCCTGTTTTGTTTAATGTTATGAAATTGCACAGTGTCGTGCTACTTTGATAGCTCCTACCTTACTGCTTGTGCAGCTAAATCTACACTCATTGTTGCAGGAGACAAGAGAGGAAAGAATTCATCAATATCATGAAGAACCAAACACCCCTCCTGTTCTGGTAAGTAGTAGTTCCTAGTCAGGAAGCTCATGGCTGTAGCATGGTAAACATTTTAAATGCTTTCTTGCTAGATTTCATTGTGGGTTCCCCTGCCTGACCATCCTTACAGAACTGTGGCACAGAAGGCTAGTTATATCCTTGCTAAGAGCTTCAACCTTGGATTTTGCTTACTTGCAGAAGATACGTAGAACAAATGAAATGTATTCTGCCTATTAGATGCTTGGAGTCCTGTTGCCAAACACTGTATTTTAGGCAGCTCTCTGATCTTTCCAGTTACTGGCCACCAGTCATATGTTGTATGTCAGGGTGGTGTGCATGCAGATGGTAAGATACCTCCTCTCAGTATTTTTGCAGATATTCTTAACTTTACATTTTCTTTTAATCTGTGTAGGTTTCTGAATTTGCTCATTCAGTAGTATGTTTGTAATTACAGTATGTCTATCTGGGGAAGTGGGACCTCTGGGTTTCCTGTCGCTGTGCTTCATCTTGGAATATAAAGTGTGTGCTCTATCGTCTGCTGCTTGGCCCAAACTGGATCTAAGAATGGGGGTAGTAGAAGTAATTGTGGAAAAAAACATGTTTTCCTTTTCTCCTAAGTGGTTTCTCCTTCTTTAAAAGGGACAAGTAAAACAAACAAGAAAACCAGCTTCTAAAACAAGATAACTCACCTAATTTTGTCTTGGCATCTTTGTTACAAATATGTGAGTGAGAAAGTCTTGTCTGCAGTCACGGTGAGCTGCACTTAGACTGGCCTGCTTGTGACAAGCATTGTAGCCTTTCAAATGGCTTGAAAATAATCTTAAATGTTTCTACCTACATTAGGGCTTGTGGGAAGGTGCAATGCTGCTAGTGGAAGGAGACAAAGCCACCTTGCAAGGAATAACAGGAGCACGTCTGTTTTTTAGGTAAATGCTTCATTTGAATTTGAATAGATACCCTCCTTCAAACAGAAAGGAAGAGAGACTTCTGTTAGACTCCTGGCACATGTTGCCTGTCTCCCACATCAGAAGTTACTTAATCCCTTGCTTCCATTTCTCTGTGGGGAAAACATGAGTATTGCTTTATGCTCCAAATAAGCAGGCAGTATGACAGCACTCTAAAGGATGTCTAATTTATCCAGCAAGTTCTCTGGCATTATATCTAGTGATGCTTATGTTTCTGAACTATAGTTACCATTCACAGAAAGAGCCCCAGTAGTCAGCTCTGTTATTGAAGGCCAGGGGAACACCAGTTTGGCCTTAATGCACTGAACTCTAGAGCAAGAGAACTCATGTCTTTAGTCATATGAACGTTACTAAGAAATCGAATGTGCATATCGTGTGATGCAGGCAAGGAAGGGAGTCAAAACTCTGCTTATTATGAATAAGGATGCTTTGTTCTATCCCTAGTAACAGATGGAAGCACAGGAGTCCTAGGTCCCATTAAAGGTCACAGCATGGTTTGTCTTGTTTACAGGGGTACGAAACCAACTGAACATGAGCCTGGAACAGATTTCAGTTTCCTCCTGATCGACAGTAATCTCCAGAATCTGTAGCCTTGCATATTCTGCAGCAAAAGTCACTACATGGGAAGAAAATGAGGAGGAAGGAAAGAGATACTTCTAGTTGCAGGGTGGGTGGAGAACCTTAGCTTTATAAAGGAAGATAAATATCCATTAGTTGGCTCTTTTCCCCACCCTAATTCATGCCTTGGACATCTCTCCTTCCAAGCAAAAAGACCATTTTTATTGCAATACTTGAGTAATCATAGCTATTCTTAGTCTGAAAGGGTCAGCACATTTATGTATACATGTTGATTCTTACACGAAAAAAAAGTTGCTTTAACACAATTAAGACAGGACACAGAGTCAGCTGTTCCTGGTGCCTAGCTTTACCTGATAAATCAGAGAATTGTTTGTTTAGTGTACTCCCACACTTAGTTTCATTTTTGTGCTATTAATAAAGGGAGAAGTTATGCATTCAATTACTTTTATTTGCTTCAGACTCATGTTAAACATATACAATGCTAATTATGTACAAAAGTGTGCATGTTAAAAATTGTCAGGTTACAAACTTGCAAATCCTAGAAAAGTGCAAAATTTTAAAACATCTTCCACCATGCTGTACAGAAGAAAATCCATCATTAGCCAATATACACACTCTTAAAACATACTGATCAAACCAAAATAAGACATACAGTATACTCTTAAAGCACCCAGAAGGGAAAAAGATATTGCACAGAAGACTGACAGCAAGTTATTACAGTGCCTGAAGGCTTATTTTTGAAAGTAGGTATTTCCAACAATCCTCAGACCTAACATTTAACCCTTAAAAAAGGCATTTTTTGGCATTTAAAAATCCATTTGTAATCACATAATTGCACAATCTGTAAGAATTATCAGAAGATACGGTTAACTGTTGCTGTAAGGCCTTTGTTTCTACTCCCTCATTAGCTGTAGTAAAAATTCATCAAGCAAACTGGTAGCATCACAGCTTCCCTCAAAACACTGACCAAAGGGAGGCAAGTCTTACAAGCAGCATTCCTCTTCTCTTATATTAAGCTGCTCCTGCATAGTGAAGGGTTGAATCAGAACATGTATATGCAAGTTTTCCTTGAATTTTTTTTCCCTCGTGGCTTTCTTAAAGCAACAGCTTACAGCTACGTATGAAGAAAACAGTACTGTCAGGTGCAAGACTAAGTTTGTTTTAAAAAGTTACTTCAAGGCAAAAAATATGTCTCCCTCATGAGGAAAATAGTGACTACATAGGAAGCTAAATAAACAAGTGTCCTCTAAGTTCAGTTAGGTCTATGATATATATAGCTGGATGTTTTACATTTCAATCTCAAAACACCTGAGCAGCTTTAAACCATAATCTATACTGACAATCATGCTTCTGGGACAGAAGATATGTTATGAAATAGTGTCTGTGCTGAGTATAATCACAGACCCAAGCTCTGGAAATACTTGCCAAATTTCCTAAGTTCAGTAGAGGAAAACAGAAAGAACACACACCTGGAGGAAGTCTCTCCTGAAGAAAAGAAGTGAAACACCTATTTTATCTTGGTGATTTGGGTAAATGGTAACTAAAAGACACACCAGTTTTCTTCCACAGATGCAGAGCAAAAAGGTGAATTAAAACTGAACAAAGGGTACCTTTGATTAAACACTAGAAGCAGTTCCTCACATATGGGGTGTTCAAGACTGTAATAAGATGAATAGCACTTGACTCAAACAGTGCAGAGTATGCTATGCTGCCACTCATAGGCATTTCTGCATTCGGGCATCTGGATGACTATAACAGTGAAGAAAGGAACAACAGTATTTCACCTTTTTTTTTTTTCTTCTTCTAACTGGAGTAGCTTTTCAGAAAATCCTTTCTTCCTTTACAAGTATGTGCTAACAAGGGCAATTAGCAATAGTAAGGAGAATTTGGCTCCTTGGGATGGAAGGAAAGACATCTTCCAATCATTTCAGTTGAGTCTAACATTGGTATACAATGAACTTACGTGCGTATGACTGCACAAAAACTATTATACTCTCCCAAAAAGGAGAAAGGAGACTACTAACAAGTGTCATGTTTACAGCTTTTAAACCAAAAAGCATGAAAAACTCATTCTAGAAAGCACTGAAGCACATGCTTGAATTTTCACTCAATTAAATATAACCGTATGTAGTGCTTTCATGTACCAGCATTTATCAAATCAGGCCTTAGGTTCACATTGATATGCATTTATATGTGCTTTTCTTTTTTTTTATTCTTTGAAAGAAAAAAAAATATTCACAGCACCTAGCCTCAGCATCTAGCCTAGCCAGCAAGGTACCTTTAGCAGTGGAAGAGTGCCTTCAGGTGACAATACAGAGCAAACATCCACACAGACTCTCAATGTAGGGTGAAAGTAGGCTGACACCTCCTCTACTCCCCTCCCTAGCGCTAAAGCTCCCTACCATACCATAATCCGTATATAGATTCACATTTTCAACTAAATACACATACACACTAAAAGCTTTGTGAAGTATTTGGTTTCTGTACATATATTTTCTAATTATTTTATTAATTGAGATTGGGAAAGACTTGCAGAGGAAACAGGGAGGAGGGAGGCATGGTCAAGGGAAGCAAGGTATACAGCTCCCATTGACCAAGGTAAGAGTTAAAAGACCTACCTAATTATTGTGCTTTACAAATAAAAATACATTTATCATCCCTGCAGGACTATCTTAAAGCAAACTGATATAGGACTGTTACCAGTCCTATACAGAATTTGGACAATGCAGAAACTTAGTTCTTTGTACTTCATTGAAAGGACACAAAAATACAGCTTTAAAGAGGATCCTTATAAAGCAACCAATTGACTAGACTATATAAAGCCTGTAAAGACTTCGATAAACCTGTTCTGTGATAATATTCATGATCTAAGGTATACCAGGGAAAAAAAGCTTGTTTATATCAATGTTGCAGATTAGCAAAACAATTGTAATCTCTGTGTGCGGGTGTTACTGGTTTTTTGTTTTGGTTTTTTTTTTTTTTTTCCTTTCTTTTTAAATCGAACAGGCTTCCTAAAACTTAATTTCCACAATGTGTATTAACCATCAGAAGTGCAGTTAGTTTAAGATTGGGATTATTATTTTGTGCTGGTGTTGGTGAGGTACACAGATGATAGAAGATGTGGTTTCTAAATATCCTGTGAAAGTATATTGATGTAGAATAATTTGCATAATTCAGATGCTAATTTGAACAGCGAACATTCCACTTTCTGAATGCTCTTATAGTACAAAAACTGCACAGACTAGGTGAGATTCTTCACTATAGATAAAAGAGGCAACTGAAAATACTACCAAGACTTACAAGTAAATTGATAAAGAGAAATTTAACAAACATTTTACTTGAAATAAAGGAGAGATATCTTCTAAATATCATCCTTTGGTATGCAAGTTCAAAACTGCGTGAGGGAGAAGTTACTCAATACTGATAACTACTTGATCTCATTTATATACAGGTATTAAAAAAGAGTCAGTTTTCAGTTTCTTTTAGATACATATACTTACACTCTTACTTACTCTGCTTCAAAGGTAAGCATATCTTAAACTTTGATAAATATCATTAGGGTTCTTCCAAAAATCAAATATAAGAAGATACCATCAAGAAGATCCTAACAAATGCAGTGTTGTGAAGCAACAGTCACTTAAGACTTGTTTATTCTGAATTCCTAATTAGAATTCTTTCATCTCACAGCTTTACTTTTTACACTTAAAGAAATCTTAGTTCAAAACCAAAGGAGAATCTTATTTTACCAATACTACGTGATAAATAAAATGTGATCCTAAGATTTACTGAGTTGAGGAAATCAAAGAATGATGAAAGTGAAATTCACAGTGCACTGCATAACTGCAATTCAACCAACCTAAACATCTGATCAGGAAAATTATTTTCTGCTTTTAAAAATAAGTTAAAACCAAAATAAACAACATACCAGTTAATGCTCACATCTACCACCTGTATCTTTTATTTGAAGCTGGTTTTAGATAAAGACAAAGCAAAGACCTTCAAACTTATGGGGTTCTTTCCAGAGGGCCTCGGGCAAGAACACTAAGCATGTGATGGTGTGTACTTCCCATCATCAAGGACCAAATAAAAGATCAAAAGACAACAGATGCTGCCATTCTGCATAGAGCATGGAGCAGCTCACCTGTCCCTCTCCTCATTCTGCTGCTGCTGCTTTGTGCAGATCACAAACTAGCCTCAAGTTTGAGAGCCCAAGAACTGTCCACATTTCAACCTGTCCCAGATATTTGTGATGATCACCTAATGCTTGTGATGCACGGAAGCAATGGCATTCAAATAACAAAGGTCTTCACCATAAACTCTTTCATCCCCAATTATATTACAATATTATTATATTGCTACATTATAAACTACATTACAGTATTATATTACTACATTACATTTTACTTAAGCTGACACAGTGTATTCAGTATTCTTTAATCACAGAACGTTAGATTGGAAGGGACCTCGGAAGATCATCTAATATTAAACTACTAAAAACATTAATTCAACTGCTGTATAAGCATACCTAACCCAAAGTAGGATGTTTTCAAACCGTTATATGAAGCCCTCTGTTGCAAGCGACAAAACCAAAACTATGCTCTCACCAAACACTACAAAAGACCTATCTCGTCATTTTTTCTACTTGATTCTAACCCGAAGCATCATAATTTCCTGCCCTCTCCCCCTGCAAGTAAACACTTAACCTCATATATGCATTTAAACAAAACATATATGCATACTTATAAAAATCATCAACTCAATGCCCCAAATTAGTTCTTTTCTCAACTTCCCATAACACAGAAAAATCTCACATTCTGAGCTGAAATTCTTCTAAACTACTCTCAAAAGAGCTCCCCGACATCCTTCATGAAATCATAATGGACAAACATACTTCACATTATCATATACACACTTGATATTTCCAGTGTATCCTTACTACTGGATACACAATTGATTAAAAATAGTATTTTTCACTTCTCTATAGCTTATTTGAAAATATGGGATGTGGTTTTTTTACATACACGGAGTCTGAAAGAACACACTGCTCTACTTTTGAAAATTTAATGTTCTCTTGGCAAGTGATTCAAGGAAATAATTCTTATTTTCTCCTAACTTTCCAGACAATCCAGTCTGTCACAGTGATTAGAGTATTGCAACTATGCATAGACCCACTTGTTCACTAGTCTGATTTATTATTTCATTTACAAAAGTTAAGGAAAAGCAACACAGTTTATTTTATTTTTTTTTACACAGCACACTAATCACTCATTAAGAGGGATTTTTTTTTTTTCCAGTAAAGAAATTGAGGGGGAGAAAACAGTTCTAACGAGACTAACAGATTATCCTTCTGCGGGGTAAGGAGGTATTACTATTTCCACAAAGTTAATAAATATTGTGCTAAAAGTTAATGAAAGTAGATTATACATTATGGAGTTCCTCAGGTAGTTCAACAGCTCCCCAGCCACAGGGAATATCGACAACATTTATAGGAGATACAACACACATTCATTTCCATAAATAAATAAAAACAACAAGAAAAGTGATGGCACAGGGAAGAAAGGGGTAGCCAAAAGGGAAAATACTAGCTAACAATCACCTACAGCTCTGCCTTTTATCTGTACTCCCCTTGCCCCATGGTATTTTCTCCTTTTAATAGACATACATACATGTATATACATATATATATATACACACACAAACATACATATATACACATGCACAAATACCTTTGCATGTTGATCCAAAAAAAAAAAAATCATATTTTTTCCCTCAGCACCAGGCTTTTCTAACAGTATGGGGTTTATAATTTAAATCATTAACATCATTAAAATGTCAGAACAATAGGAAAACACACACCCTTCTACCATCATGTATCGCTAAACCAAAAAAATTCAGTAATGGCATCTCCAAAATATAGCGTACAATCCATAACTATTTTGTTGGATATAGTGCATCTAAGGATCTGATATTTTCTTTTCCTAGGTGTTAAACACATCTTGACAATAGATACATTATCTGTTTCCTTGCTTGTTTTTACAGGGGAAAAAAAAAAAAGGCTAACAACTGGTTAACACCAAGCCAACAAACAAACAGGTACTGTTTAACTAAATTGTGCTGCAATGTTGTTTAAATTATTTTGTAGGGGAAATGTATTTTTTTTTGTAGGAGCTGCCTTACTAATGAAGCAAATTGTTCTTTGACCAATATAGATACTGATTATTCCTCTGTACTTCTTCAAGGAAATAAATATATTATAGGTTTTCTTGTATTTCCTACCTCCTTCAGCTCCTTCACCACCTTCAACTCCTTTGAAGTCATTCATGTCTGTACTTTAAACAATTTCTGATAATCAAGTAGTGCAACACAGATGTTCCTTGCAAAACAACCTAAAACTGGAACTACACAAAAGAAGATAGCAATAGCCATTTACAGGAACAAATTGCAATAAATTGTTCACTGCGCTAAAAAACATATTGAAAAGGTCATAACCGTCAGCTATCCCAATTTTGAATCTTACCACTGCAACTGACAGAATTTTAATTTACTGTTGGGGAAACAATGCTGCCAAAGCAAAGCCAAATATCTTCTTTGTGATTAAGGAGCATCTGGCCCTATTCAGCTTTAAATCAAATGCTACTTATCTTAAATACAATTAGCAAGCTTGGGTTTGGAGGTTTGGGTTTTTTGTTTTGTTTTCTCATCTTTTCTTTTTTTTCTGAAACACAGTTTTAGCAGCTATTTAGAGAGGGATTCTGCTGTAACCAAGTCAACACTGTTAAGGAAAAAAATGCAAGCAAGCTAACTTGCATTAATACATATGCTTATAACTATACCTCTACCATAGGTTCATCTTCAACAGACGCAAGAATCAAGCCCCTGAAAGTTGAGATATACATTTAAAGTGACTAAAAGATTAAACATATTTCTGGAATCCATGAGAGAAGGTAGAAGCAGCAATCACTTGGAATCTTGAGTGTTATATTCAGTCTCTCCTGATGAAATCTGGCTGAGCCGTTTGCTTGATCCCCACAGCTTTCGAGAAAGCTGACCTGAGCGCATCTGTTTAAAAGTAATTCAGAGAAACAAAAGGAGGGGGAAGGGATAAGGTGGATAAATTAAAAAGGAATTCAGACACTGATTCTGGTGAAATGCAGACACTACAAGGTACTGCATAAACAAAACACCAACAAAAATTATTTGAAAACAAACCAAAAATTACACTTAGGAATGATTATTGGGACTGACAAAAAACAACAGACAAAACACTGATCAGAGTCTTCTCTGATTTTGAACAGTTAAAGGGATATTGCCAAGTAATGTGTATTTAATCCTTAACCTACTTCAAATGGCTTAGAGACAGTGTTTGGATTGTTATTTTGAAAAGAAGGAAAAAAGAGGTGAATGTCAAGCAAAAATGAACCAAATTAGAAAGAAAGACATTTTATTTTAGAGATTTCAAGCAGAAATTGCTAGAAGTGAAAAGGAAAAGATAACCAAAATGCAGAGCAGTGATGGCAGAATGAAGGAAAGAGAGAAAGGTTATCTCCTGGTGTCAAATTTACAGTCTTCCAAAGATCCTGGGTGAAGTGCTTGTAGTAAAATTTAAACCAGAGATAATTCATACTGAATATTCTGTAAATAACAACAGACAATAAGCAACCAGAGGCCACATTAAATCCAGCATCTGGTAGGTCTGCAATCTGACAACAATTTGTAAGAAACTGTTTTAATTTACTCCTTAAGTACAAGGCTTGTGATTGGCCAGTAGTGATCAGCCTGGCAGCTGATTAGGTTATGAAATCCCTTGCAGTTTAATAAGGATGCATGCCTTAACAGCACAATTTTGAGAACAGTTCCCGGCAGTTAGCACTACAAATTAACCATGCTTAAGAACCATATCATCATAGCAGCAGTGTTCTAGAAAAGGCACAGTACTGACAGGGATTAACACTAACAGGTGATAATCACCCAGACTTCTGCAACATCCCAAATGGCTAAGTAATTATTAAAAATACAAAAACATTTATTATACTTCACTTCATACCAGATACTGTCAGTGCAGAAACACTAAAGGCCAATCTTAATACCAAGCAGCATTTCACTTTATGCACAATAAAGAAGGTCAGTTTCTCCCTTTATCCTAGGATCAGTATCACCACTGAAAGACAGAATTACAATACTGTCTTCCGTATAAGGATAACGTTTTAGTAATTAATATATTATTTCCAAACTACAAATAAATCAGTCAACAACTAGATACCTCACATACATACACTTTTCAAATATATTGAATGATGCCATTATAGAAAACTAGAAAATCTGGGACATAACGTTGTTCCTTATATATTTGTGTTTTTTTTAAAAACAGATCTATTTACATGGGTATTAAGCTTGCAGATCATCTGAATTATAAACAGAAAATCCGGGTAAAAAAGACATTGGAAAGCCTCTACATTCATAAAAAGAATACAGTCTTTGAAACAACACTTTCTCCATAGTTAGAAAAATAGATGCGATTAAGAACTGAAAAAAAAAAGGAAAGAAAAAGCCTTCAGTCTAATGAGATACACAAATTTCAGCCTACAAAAGATCTTTTCTATGGAATAGGAAGCTTAGAGATGACAGTGACTTTAAAACTGCTGTTACAAACATATGTTTAACCACAGCATATGCAGCTGTCTCAGTTCTACAGTAGAAAAAAGCTGTCCAACTGGAAGCCAGTGGAAACCTCCCCTCTCCATCTGCTGCAAGCAAATTAAGACTACCATTGTGTGAAGCCTGCTTCAAATATTAAACTAGGTATCTCCCAGCTAAAACATATTAAAATACTGGCAAATAAAGTAGCTCTGTTTTCACAATTAAAACATAAAATTAAGACATGCTTTTCTGGCATGTACTAAAGGTCATGCAAAACTAATAAGCACATTTTCAAATAAATATACTGCAGCACAACATAGATCAGGTTATAAAGAAAAGCAGGTTTAAGCTAACTCAAGTACTTTGGAAGTCATTACAAGATGTATTTAAAGTAAAACCTATGTTTTGCAGAAGAAAAATTGTGCGAGCTATTTGACAGATGGATGCTCTGTATTTGATATTGCATATGCAGTACCAACAAGTTTATATTCACCATATGGAGCAGAGAGCATATTGGGAACCTACACAAGTGATTCTTTGTGCATTGCAATTACAGACTCTTAAGAGAAAAAAAGTAGTATTCCCCCCCCCCCCGTGTCAGTCAATGCATATTAAAAGGTATCTGACAAACCATAAAAATAAGGAAAGTAGCTTGCTCTCTTTTGTTTCAAATTTTCTTCTGGAAAATTACTTCATCAAGAAGTGGCTGACAACACTAGCATGTTCAGAAAAGGTTAGCTACTATCACATTGCTTATTCAGATGTGAGTGATAAAGTCTGGAAGTTAGTCCAGCTGAGATTCCCATCTGTGAACCCTATATACCTTTGATTCTTAATGAGAAATTTCAGCAGAGCAGTCTCAAAAGTTATTTATTTCCCACTGAAAACTGAAACTTGCTCTTAAATTTACCCTGCCATAGAGAAGATCTCTTGCTCAACTGGAAAGCAGAAATAAGTGAACTTCCCACTGTTCGGTAGAAAAAGTTCTTGATGGTGGGTTTTACCTCTGCTGGCTTGCCAACACCAACGATAATCAACTTGCCATCCTCCAAGCCAACAAGGATGTGGCTATACTCTTTGGTGACAGAAATGCAATGAATTGGCCGTCGCATAGCTAAGGGGGAGATGCTCAGACTCAGGCTGAAATGAACAAAAACCACATAGAAAAAGCACATCATATATTCGTTTCTACATACTGCAAAGAAAGACACTGCAGTTGAAATTGCTGTCCACAGGATGCACAGTTTCTCAAGGATCCAGTCTGCAATTTGAATTATTGTAAACTCCTAAGGAACAATCTAATAGTAACCCAGAATAGAGCTCCAATAACAAGAAAAGGCATGGACGGGTAAGTCAGTAAATTAAGACATTTTCACTGAAGAACAGTAACATTAGTCCCACAACTGCCCAAGTGACAAACATCACTCCCATCCTAAGGAACAATGGAGCTTTACAGAGCATAGCAGTAAGCAGAGTTTAAAACTCAGTGCAGAACTAGATGAGGCTTGATCCTGCAGTTGCTGGTCTCCCAGTGACTAATCAGACTAATCACTGTTTGCAGATGTCAGACACAGCTCTTCCTAAATTCTTTCAGTTCTAGGTGTATAATTGGGATAAATGCCTGGGGGAAAAAGGGGTCTGGTACAACTTCTCCTTTTTCTTTTCTCCCTTAGTTCGCCCCAAGAGAGTTTTTTCCAGGAACACAGAAAAAAAGCAACAGCTACCACCTACATCATGAAGCAAATTCCATCTTACACAGCCATTTCTCAATAAGCTTTTATATTTGCATCTCAATAATAAACTATCGATGGTGGTACATTACCTGTAGAGATCCCGAATGGAAAGAAATCCCTGTAAGCTGCCCATCACGATATACTCGCCAGTCACACACATATCTGACACTTCCTCCTTCAGAGTCTCAGAACCCAGATATTTTCCATTGACAGAATAGAGATGTAATGCATTCTTATCCTGAATAGATCAAAAATACATCTGTCACAGAGGACTGGGCTGGATTAAGAGAGTATTATTTGTATCTTTATGTCAATAACCGGAGGTAATTTGGGCAACAACCCACAGATAATATTGCTGACAACAGTTTCCTTGTTGAATGATACAAGAGTACCAAGCCTATATGTAATGCATACAGATACCAGGTCCCATATGGAAATTTTTGAAGTTATTCCCTGTTACCTCTTGATGTAACGTGGTAACGTCTTCCCTATCCATCTAATCAATTACAAATTTTCTAGAAACATCCATAGGGTTAATGGACAGGCCCCTATTTTATAAGGGTTTTTACTAAGGAAGAAGAAAGCACACTCTTATCCTCAGCCCTGCTGCTATCCTCCCTCCCCCCAACCTCAAACTGAAAAGCAGAAGGGAATAGGTGTATTTCCACAGAGCTACATCTAGAAGCATTTTCTGGTCAAGGCAATGAAATCTTGATGGATTAAAGGCACAGCTAACACAACCATCTTAAGTTCTTTCAGCCCTAACAATACCTTGGTCTCTTCTCTCCTCATCTTCCCAATGCAGCCAGCATACCTACATGCAATAAATTTGTCTTCCAAGAAATTTCTCATGCTCATAGAAATTGTAACAGCTCTACCCTTACTAAAGCAACTACACAGCTACTCAACAGACAAAATAAGCTACACTGTGAACCTTATAGGTATCTCTCCAATCCAAAACTAAGAAACACCAGTGGAGTCACTGGGCATCTTGCACCCAGAACTTACTGCTCCCCTTATAAGCCTCTGTTTTTGAGCACAGTGGAACTTGTTTCCCCTCGTTTTTCATTTCAAAGCAGCTCTCCCAAGAAGATTCATTAGCACATGCTTGGGCATCTTACTTGCAGGTGTTTGGAGATTTTAATGAAACTTACAGGACAGCATGCCTTTGATTTATCTTTTAGTCAAATTTCTCTCAAACTGGCTAGCAAAAAAAAAAAAAAAAAAAGAAGGAAACAGACACAGCATGCTCAAAAAGCCCCATTACTTTAGGAAATAAGGATAAAGTTAGGCACATTTATGATTAAAGTCTTCAACAAAAGGAACAGAGTCATTCCATGAACCTAAGTACCTTAAGAGTAGTCTTTCCTTCTATGCTGGTGTGGACAACTATATGGCCTTCCCAGGACACAGCCAGATTGGGAACAGTCAGCAGGAGAGAACTCTCACAAGGTGGTCGCAAAGTCCTCACATACTGACCTTTCCGAATAGTGCGGACAATAACAGTCCCATCCTGCAGCGACCAAATTTAGGTAAGTTGTTACTCAGCAGGTAAGTTACCGCAACACACAGAAAGCGTACTTAAATATAGAGGGAATATTTTGAAAGCACTTAAATCCTTAACTGGAGATCAAGACTCCTGAGCATTAGGAACTCCACACAAAGAAGCTTTACCCTCAAGGCCATATACTATAGGCATATGAAAAAAAAAATGCAAACAGGGTAAGAAGGAGGACAGACAGCAAAAGAGCCATTTCACAGGTCACATTTATGAGCAGGCGTTATGTGCAGTACAGAGTCAGAGTTCAGCAGCCTGCCACTGCAGTATAGTAAGGTAGAGCATGAGTAAGCTGCACAGAACATTCAAGACTAAGGAAGCAGGGAAGAAACCATCACAGAATTGTTTCTATGAGAAGCTTAGTATTTCCAAGTAAGTCCACACATGTTAAAGCTCATCAGTGCAGAACAACATAATATGGTAGCTGAGGCCTATGCTGCACAGAACAGTTTAAGACAGCTTGATTTAAGCAGGCAGCAAGGGAGATGGCACATATCTTCTTGATGCACAAGGCTGAAGAAAAAAATCCTGAAATAGTCACTTTTTTTTGTATTATTCTTAATCAACTTCAAACATGCTCTATGGTTTGAGTAGAGGCAAAGAAGAGAAAGGTATGAGGATGCTTACCCTGGATCCTGACACTGCCATATCCAGTTCAGTGCTGATGCCAACACTCGAAACTTCATCAGTATGCCCATAAAGGATCTGTAATGGCTTAGGTACCAGGCCTACAGGCACTCCTCCCTGAGAGTAACAAAAAGTGCAATGACACATTCTCTTGCAGCTGAAGGACAAACAAAAAATAAATTTCTGGTATCTTCAGTATCAGTTGTGTGAGATGTGTATTTGACACAGGCCAAAACTGAAGGTGTAACTCACCCATTCCAATTTCAATTTATTGCCTTTTATGTCAGCAGCCCTATTTACTGAAATCGCAAGATTGAACAAACATGCAGTTACTATGTGGATGTGACTTGTTTCTATCTCTTCAGATATCCAGGTGTGCAGGGACCACAGTAAGCAGTCCTAACTCTTGTTCACCTACCCACCCATCCACCCACTTTTTCTTCACCTGTGTATCTGGGCCTGTTCAGTTCTTAGAGTTTACCCTGGAATTAAGACTATCTTCACAGTCAAGCTTAAGAAGCTGAAAGCTATTTTGCTTAAAATTACAGCAATTCTGTTCCATTTTAAGGAAAAGTAAGGAAATAATCCTTCTCAGTAATTACCATTAGTATGATATGCAAAGGAAATCTTGCAATAATGCTCATTAAAAAACAGCAATTTCCCCACATGACTGCAAGGTGTCAAAATTATTTAATACTTTTATTCCAGTGACTGTACTGTCAGCATATACAGTTTTACTTTCATACCAGTTCTAAGGCAAGACCTGTGCTTATAGAGAGAAGGTACAGTAAATAGTTCTGCAGAGGACTCTCTTCTCATTTCTGTGATAGAAATTTGACTGCCAACCAAGCCCTGAAAGCCTGAAGCATGCAAGAATGAAGAACAAGTGTCAAAATACAGAGCTGGGAAAGAAGGTGACAATGCAGAGCAGACAAGTAGAATCGAAGTGACAGTATGCAGTCCATTTCTGCTAGCTTGTAAAGACCAAGATAAAACTCTCACAAGAAGAACTTACAATACATCCAACATAATTTATATATCCATTAAATAAAAGAATACATCAAAAATCTTAAGAAAAAGCAATTCTAAATGAAGATAATCTCCAGATGATGAATTATTTAACTCACACTCAAAAGATAAACAAACTGAAAAGTTTCCAACATTTTTCCTCGAGACAAAAAAAAACTGTTTGAGCACTAAGGTCTCACCTTTTTGACCATGGATCATTGGTACAAAGTAGCTCTAGAAAGAATTAGAAGTACTCCCACCACGAAGACATCTTCCACAAAAACACATGCAGTTATGCAATACTGTATTGGTTTAATGTGCTAACTCCAGTTCAATAATAAGAACAAGGTGACCTGACCAAATGTACCGTCCATAACGTGACAGCTCACCCCTGCATGTAATGCAGTAATCAGAACTGAATATTTAAAATGCATAACAATGGAAATGGCTTCACATTTTGAATGCAAGTATACACGTGCATCACACAACCACTTTCATTGTATGAAAGCACAAGACCAATATTAAAGAATTATAAAACGCCAGTGTAAACCCGGGTAACACACTAGCACTGTCTTTGCTAACTCCTAGCGTAGTCATCAGTACTTCCCACAGAGGAAACACAATGCTAAAATGCAACTACTGGAGTGAACAGCAGCCTAGAAATGTAAAAATCCTCAACTATAAACATTGTTCTGACTGATTCCAGTAGTCTCAAGCAGTCTCTCTTCAGTTCTTCCTTCTGTACCATGGGGGATAATATTTGCCTATCCTGAAAATAATCTATGAGATCTTTAACAGTGCCTCTAAAACACTGTACTTCAGCTATATAGTAACTAATGTGTATAGTGAATATTTCAAACACAGAAGACAATGGGAGTAACAAAATCACTAAGCTAATCAATCTTAGTGGACTATCTTCCCTGCAAATGTGAAAGGAGGAAATCGACAAACCACCACAGCAAAACAGAGAAGCATAAAAAAGTATTCAGAAAATTCTTCTCAGAGTATGCCTAAATAACCTACCTGCTGAACTATTTGCCATATCATACAGGTAGTATCTCTGGAGCCTGAAATTAAATGAATTCCACAGTAGTCTATTGCCAAGCAGGTCACAATATCTAGATAAAGGAAAGAAAATAGACAGTTATCACAGATATTTAAGACTAATTTCCCAGAGTGAGAAAGTGCATGCAATATGTCAACAATGAATCCTGATTTGCAGTCAGCATGAAATGTTCCACTGTGATAAGGGCTGATGAGACTATTAAACAATGAAGTCATTGTTCAGCCAGGTGCACCAACCTGACTTAACCAACTTTGCTACCTAAAAACAGCAGTCAAGCTTTATTTTGAAACAACATTAAATCATCACTACCAAGACAAAAAAAGCTATGCTCAAGCGTTTATGCATAATCACGCCTCTAGTATTATTCTGTTCTTATCCTGCCATTCCTTTATAACTGCTATGCTTGGCTGTCCAAGTGCACCAAACACCAAAAAGACCAAACATCAAGGTACAATACATAAAACTTCTCATTTCACAATATAAAGAGTTACGAACCCATGTGCCTGATGTGCTGTCCAATCAGCTTGCCTTTTGTAAGAGATGTCACTCTGATGCTGTTGTCCCAGTGTCCTCCACTAAAGAGCAGTTTTGCATCATGGGATACCACAAACAACTTAGAGGTGATCTCCAGCCCTGGTGCAAAAGGACCACTCATGTTGCGTTGTGTTCTGTAGGCAAATGATTAGCAGTTAAGAGTAACCTTAGTTCAAATCAATGTATTTTGCACTTCCTATATCCTTAAAAATTAATATGAAATTCCACCTATAGAAGAGGCTATATCTAAAAAAAAAAAAAAAAATAGGTGAAATTCTGGCCCCCTGATATCCATGGCAAAACTCTCACTGCCATCAGTAAATGGAAGGAAGATTTCACCTTAGATCTTTTTAGTCTTTTATCCATGTATGTCTGTATGTATAAGTCATGTCCCTGCTAAGTATTGTAACATTAAAGAAAAAAAGGAAACTTCTGAAACCCAAATAAACAAAACCACCACATACACCTACACTATAGTGTAAAAAAGTATGAAGAGTCCCCATCTCACATTCGAAGGTAAGTTTTTATGATTGATAATTAAAAAAAAAATTACAAGTAGCTCTAAGAATTAAGAACCTTGAAATGCCACTTACATAACTCTTTACTAGAACAGTATTACATATTAGAAGTAACATTACTGAATATCAGAAGGTGCATTCTTAGGTGAAAACTCAGCCAATTAAAACAGTATAATCCTCTGACTGTTGAACAAGTACTGTATTTTATTTAATATTTAATTACTGTAGATGCATTCATCTGCATCTCTCCTCATCAATTGCTTACTTGGGATTTGTCACTGTGGTATCTCTAATGAATGTAAAATAGTTGGAGATATTTTTATCGTAAGGTAGCCAACCATGAGTTCCAATAACGCAGTTCAGACTTGTTGTTACCTAAAAAAGTTCGACAGAAAAAATCAGTGAAACACAGAGGCATATTTCTGCTTGCCTTTGATGGTAACGGAGCTTGCATAATATCCAGCATAGGCTTCTTGAGAATTTACCACAAAGAAAAAAAGCACACACACCCCTCCCCCAACAACAACAACAAAAAAAATCCATCTCAGATGAGTTAATCCATATGTGGTACTTATTACCCAGTCAGGACGGTGTTATGTTCTAGACAGGTCAGAGAAGTTGAAGGGGGAGGTGGGGCATGGGCAAGGAGGAGGCAAAAACCAAAAAACCCAGCCAACCAACCCCCCATAAATATTTCATTACAATTCAGCCATTTAGTTTAAGCTGCTTCTTCTTTTATTTGAAATAGTAATAATTAATAGTTAACATATTAAAACAGAAAGTTTTAAAAAATTGTCTTGGCTTAATATAGTATTTGTGTATAAGTTTGTCCTACAAAATAGGAATATTGGAAAAGAATATTCTTTCTGCAAAACACAGGTGGTATTGCACAGGGGCCAGCATGCAGACCATACATGCAGATGTAAATACAAAACCTCTCTCCTCCTTTCATCATTCGGCCATCTGCCATAGTACCAGCACTTGTATTGGTGCCACAGTTACTTTGAGGAACAGTACAGGCCTTTGGAGTGTGCATACACCACATACAGAACAGTTTAACATAAGGTTTCGAAAGCAATTATAAACATAATGATGCCACTAATAACTCAAGGGCTGCATTGCATTAGGAAATCAATTGCTACCATGGAAGTGGAACAAGCGGGCAATTTAGAATACACCTCACTACAACTTACATTCATGTCTCATCAGCTCTTAAATGCCATTCAACAAATCAGCCTGGCTCCTTTTCAGAAGACAAATATTTAACTTGTAGTTGACATCCATGATAGGTTAAAGGAACACATTCGAACAGGAACAATTAAGTATTTCTCTGCAAGCTGTATGAAAAAAAATATACCTATTTGACTGCCTGCAGTCTAAGACTAGTATTGACACATGCAACTCACCAAGATCTCTGGGCTTCCCTGAGAAATAAAGGAACGTGACTGGTTCCTAGGGACAACAGCTTTGACAATTGGCACACCATCACTGATTCCCTAAGAGAAAGAACACAGTTATATCTAAGAGCTAAAGGGCAAATCTAGAACCTGTAAAGAGTAACACACAAACCCTCTGGAACCAACATGAGACCTGTACAGGACTTTAAGGCACTGGAACATGCATATTCAGTTCATACTTTGTCGCAAACACCAGAAAAGAAACCCTAGCTCTGTCCTGAATCAGTGACTTGAGCTACCAAGTTTAGTGAGTCCTCAGATACCACAAGTTATGTTCTTTGCTTTCTTCATGTGGTGCCCAACTTAGTACTCAGATAACACCCACACAAGCCACCAGCAGATACAAATTTATGGGATTCAACCTCCATGAAGCCAACTAAAGAGGCAGAGCTCGTTTTATACACATAACATTTTAAAACATTTTATTTAAATAGGAAGCAAGTTTATTTTCATCTAGGTTGAGACCTTTTGTTTCAAGTACATCAGAAGTTTCAGATTAGACCTTAAACAATTTCAAGTAATACATCTACCTCTATGAAGAATGACTTCAGCTCAGTGAGGTGTTGGAAGAGATTCAGAGTAGAGGTATCACTTTTAGTTAGTCTTTGCACTACCTCTTCTGCTGATAATCTTTGTGGATGGGGCTCCTAGGAAAAAACATTTGAAGGAATATCAAATTAGACAAATTTATCAATTTGTTCAAGTCACATAAGATATTCAGAATTTTATTGGCAATCAATGACAAATCAGACTCTTAAGCACATAATTTCCCATCTTAAATTAATTTCTTTTGAAAACGGTAGGCTAGACTTCCATCAGTGTGACCTTTACACGGTAAGGTGGCAAAGACTGAATATTCCTAAAATTACAAATCATTATCTTACGAACTATAACCTTTTCATTTTTTCAAAAGTCCTTTTTAACTCAGCTGAATTTAACCACAAAGGTCTGATTTGAGAGGGAACAAAAAAGCATTACCTTTAACAGCTGACAGGGAGTTTGCCCAAAATTGTTTATCATTCCTTCTAAAGCTTTCCTTTCTTTCTCATCTGTTAAAGCATCCAAATCCACAGCCCCTAGATTACAACCAGAACAATGAAGGATAGAAAAAGAAGGAAAAAGAACGTAATCCAAAGAACTTATTGAGAACTGATATGGCCAACAAATGTTGCAAACTGAATTTAATTGTAGCATTAACACCCTTCACCCCAGCAATGCCTCCAAACAATGACTGCACATAAAATATGATTTGAAAAGTCCGCTCTGCACATGGAATTTTAATTGTATCTGTAAGTGGAAGAATTGCAGGCTTTTGTTTCATCAAATTAATTCAATATACTTCATGCACACAATAAGTTGCACACAAAAGCCACCCAAAATTCAGCTTTGAAATTAACAGACTAATATATGTTTTCAATATTTTTTAGTTTTAAGTAACTTGCCTTGGATCCTAAACCACAAGAAACGTCTTCCCACAAATGCTTTTATGTAAGCAAATGAGAAACTAACAAAACCTCCCAACCACTTTTAGAAACAAAATACAAGCAACTTGAACAGCTTCCATTTAAAAAAAAACCCAACCTTCATTAACATTTCAGGTTCACAACTTCTGATCAAAGCATCAAATATTCTGGTTATTTGATGATAAAGTCAAAGTTATGCTGCCATATTTCATCTATAATTCTGTTGCTTTACCATATGCTACTGCATAGCATGCTCACAAATCAGGTGTTCTCTAATACTAAAAACCCACAAGTCTGATGACAATGACGAGAGTATACTGCTTTGTACCTTCATAAGTACAATAATAGAACACATTGAGCGCCTCCACTGCAGCTGGTCCCCTCTGCTTGTAGCCAAAAATCAAATCTATCCATTCATGAAGATGAGCAGAAACATACTCAGATTCCTAGAGGAAAAAATGCTCTTTTAAGAATAAGAGAAGTACTGATCCCTTCTTCCAGTATTTACTATTTTCTGTGAAAGAGATGTAATTCCTAAACTAAGAGTACCCACAGACTAGGTATATACCAATGTATAAGGCAGAAGCATAGACATATAATCACAGACTCATAGAATCATCAAGGTTGGAAAA